ACTGTGAAAATCCCGCTCGAGCGGACCATTCAAAAACTGGACAACAACAATGGGAGCTAAAGCACTACCAACCTGTAACAAACAAGCCCAACACATTCTAAAGCTCAAACAAAAGAGTTTAAAGGTTGACAACATGATAGGTACAACTACCAACTCCACGGAACCGCATCCGGAAAATAACAGAACAGTAAAGGGATAACCGGGATCGCTATAGCTATTCTTTTCATTGAAACCATAACTCAGACATTTGCTTTGTGGATTAATTGGACTCCCTCTTGCAAATGGCGTACTTGCACAATCTCCCATGCACACAAAGAGCCTTGCTGTTCTCAAGAGACGGGTTAGTTTGAGTAATAAAAAAGGACTTTCTTATTTTCGTTGGAAATTTAATTTGTTTAGAGTATTAAAGAATTCGATACAATTGCAGTTGATCAGAAAGAAGATGGTAAAGAGTGCCAAGGGATGCATAAAGCAACAAGGTAGCAACTCTGAAATTTATGGCAGAATGCAAGCAATCTTCGTAGAAATGGACACAACTCTAGATGTTCGCAAAATAAGTAACCAAAAATTAGAAATTAAAAAATTGTTTGTATATGTACTTTTAGACATTTATAACTTTAGTATTTGGGTTTCTAATGAAGCATGCAGTAGCAAAAAAGCTGAAGAAATTGAAGGACGCAGTCATGAAAAGTGAACATGGAGGAAGCAAAGATGGTAATGATCTGGAAAAACACATTGATGTTCACATGCCTGTTCGGGTTTATGAGCAAAGAGTGAGCAATCTTTTACAATCACTTCTTGTCAGAGCATCACTACTTGCTATGCCCACAATCAAGATGATTCCTACATCAGTTCTTTGGGGATATTTTGCCTACATGGCTCTTGACAGCCTCCCTGGAAACCAGTTCTGCGAGAAAATTTTACTACTTTTTATTACACCTAAAAGGCGATACAAGTAAGTTATTACTCAAGTATTTATAGGTTTAGTTATTCATTGAGTTTGGTAGTTTGAGAAAGCAATCACTCCTATTGATGCTGAATTTATATTTAAGATAGTCTTGGAAGGAGATCATGCTTCGTTTGTCGAGTTGATGCCTTTCAGTTATATTGCTATGTTCACGCTCTACCAGTTTGCATATCTTCTATTATGTTTTGGCATTACATGGATACCAATTGCTGGGATATTGTTTCCCATACCATTTTTTCTACTCATAATCATTAGGCAGCATCTCCTTCCCAAACTGTTTCACTCACAGTATCTTCAGGAGCTGGATGCAGCTGAGTATGAGGAAATTACCGGTAATCGAAATCGTAGTCAAAGCATGCCATTCATGGTATATTGTCTCTAAATCAATTGTTATGCCAATGATAACCAATTGGGTATTGTGAATGCTATGATTACACTAAGTTTTCCTTAGTGTGTAAAATTCAGTATTTATTTGCAACATATATAAAATGAGTTTATATTGAATCTATTCTCAGTTGTTTTATGCTTCTTTGATGCATCTTGCTCAAAGGCTCAACTCTTTTGGCAAATCAGATGAAATTTGAATTGTATCATTAGTTATGTGTTTCATACCATTTTAGTTCTGAAACTTATGTGAACATCAGTTTAGTTTTATAGCTAATTAGCTATGCTTGATATGTACAGGATGGGGACAAGCCTCTTACAGGGAATGAAAACCATGAATTTGAAAGCAGTGATGCAGAGATATTGGACGAGTTGACGACCAACAGAGGAAAGTTGAAGTTTAGATGAGCAAGCTTCAGTGATGAATGTCTCTAGTAGGCAAGACTCTAATTAAAGCCATTACTTTATGCTTAGCAGTAATACATGTGCATGTACTCCTGTGAGCATGCACCAGCCCATGCTATGGAACATGCAAGTGGGACTAGTGCAAACCCCATCACCAAAATCCAGTCACTAAATATTATAAAAATTGCAAGGGTATGTACACTTTGTTCGTTTCGATGAAAAACATTTTCTAATAGTATTTTGTTTTTTTTTTATACAGAAAACTTATACTTATCTATGTTTGGTTGCGTTCTTGAAACTTATGTACTAATGGTTGCATTAGTGGTGATACTAGTGGTAGTGATAGTGATGTGGTGGAGGTGGTGGTAGCAACGGCGATGACGGTGGTTGTGGTTGGCGATGATGGTGGTTGTAGTCATGGTGGTAGTGGAATTGGTAATATGGTGGCAATGGTGAATTTTCCACTTTTAAACTTGTGGCGCAGCATAGAATGTGAACAATAGCAGAATCACATAGCAACAAAAGCTACAACTCTACTAGAATCTGTTGAATTCGAAGATCACTGTAATTATAAGAAGCAGAAGAGAATTCTAGCAACAAAAGTGTATATATTATATCAAAAGTGATTTGCCGTAAGGCTTACAAATATTATTTATAATAAAACAAAGTCCTGATTAAACTAGAAAGGGCAATACTTGCTAATCAAGCATAATTAAAGGAATTATGAAAATTACCAAAAATGGAAGTATTTGAGTTAAGGTCAAATCTAAAAACTATAACGAAAAATACATATTCTGGAAAAAACCTACCCCCAATTGGATTTGTCTAGACAGAGTTATAGGCGAATCAATTATTTCCAAAAGCAACAAAACCATGAAATTGAAAGCTTAAACATTGGAATTTGCATGAAATCCATTGTAAGTCATGGCAAAGCGATGGATATTGGTTGTCACATCATTTTCCATGTCCCAACCGAATTCCACGCCATTACGAGCACGTGTTGTCTTGCGTCTACTAGTGCCTTTTGCCTTTGCCTTGTTTGCCCATGAGTTCTAGAAACTCTGTAGAGAAACACTCTGCATCAACTTGGTAGAGAGGTCAGCACTCCCTCTAGCAAATTTAAGAGGTGCAATTCTCTCAAGGAGCTTCTTCTTGTGTTCGCCTCTTGCCGACAAGTTTGATTATGGAACAACGAAAATCCCATCTCCTATATTTTGTGGAGCCCCTTTAAAGACATGATGATCAACGGTCTAGCTCCTTTAGATTACCGCCATCCCCTATTCCTATCTGTCTATTTGAAACCACATCATTTGGTTTACACCCACCCTACTTGACTTCCTTTGAGGTGGCTTCCTGTTCCGGTATACAAGATGCAACCACGTTAAATACGTTGATGAAGATGAAGGTACACTGGGAACAACATTAACAATACGAGTAGCAATACCTTTACAGCTTCTTCTTTTTTCACCTTCACTCATTTGTATTAGCTCCTTGGTTTTTAGGCTTCCACTCTTACTTGGCATTACAAGGAGCTTGAGACTTAGGTTTGCTTGGGCATGTTCTTGTAGAATGGCCAAGAATTTTACAAACCTCACAAGCTTAACTACATACTTCTCTTAGTGTGAGTTCACCGTTTATATTTATCTATTTGAATAAGAAGTTTTTTGTGATTACAACAAACATATAGTTCCTAGCTACAACTATTTTTTTAATAAAATTGTCACTTTTATTATATAACATTGCATAAGTAGATGCAGTAGCTCATAGATAAATAGTATGTCAATGCATGTTCATCCAAAGGATGATGTCCCACAATCTAAGTGAGTGATTGGGCACAATGGAATGCCAAGATCAAAGATTCCAGTGCTATCCTCAAATTCACATTTTTTTTATTCAAGTTCTAACCCTTAATTACCTCTTAAAGCTCCTGCATTTAGTTCTAAGTGATTGAATTTAACTGTTATAGAAAGATTTTCCAATTGCAAAATGTTAAGATTTTGGTCTACATTACAGATATGTTGTGGTGATGAGCCAAAAAATACTGTGGCATTTTAATCACTCTTACTAGTTATAAAACACTAAGGTAACTTAGGATATCAAAAAAGCTTGGAACACTGGATTTGTGACTTTTGTCTTGAAACACTTGGGTCCAGCAAACTCCAACTTAGTGTCGACATTCAGAATGGTTAGTTTCGCTTTTGTCGCTTAAATGATCATCATTTTTTCTATTTCATTTTTAAGGTATTGATTTCATCTATTTAGCCTGTTGTCTTTAATTTAAGCTAAAGTGGGCTTATTTTATTTCCAAATTTGAATAACTTGAATAATACAACCAAACACTCATTTTTCTTACCAACTATTTGGAAACAAGAGGGATGTATGTTTGGTTGTAAGTTATAAATTGTTTAACAAAGTGTGAGTAAAAGAACAAGTGTTTGTATGATTTGAATCTTTGACCGTTATTGATTTGGTCGTGGCTGTCTCCAATTGGAGTTTATGAATTGAAATTAAAAATTATAGGGACTACATAGATGAAATTAGGGCAAATTACGACGGTAGTCCCTATATTTTGATCATTGTGTCATTTTAGTGTATGTAATTTTAATTGACTCAATTTTGACCTTAAGTTTATAATTTTTTCTTAATTTGGTCAAATTGGTTACAACCTTTACCAATTTTTTGATTTTTTTTTTTTTTTAAAAAATATGCACATAAGTGACATTTGTCATATTTTTAAGCCTAAAATTATACACTTACCAAACTCAGTAAGTTAACGTCAACCAATTTAATAATAAATTTTCTTAAAATACACTAACGATATTATCAATTGTATTAAATTGACGCAAAATCTAAAATTAAGGATCAAAATTGAGTCAATTGAAAGTATGGGAATCAAAATGACACAAGTGATAAAATATAGGGACCATTGATATAATTTACCGATGAAATTAATATTTTACTAAAGAAGTAAAAAAAAAATACATTTTTTTTCCAAAACTACAACTTGGCAAAACAAGTTGCGATTGTTGTAACCATATCAACCTTCAAGATATCAACATTTTCTGTGACAATAGTTGACCTATCACCATCATTTAATTCAAGTCAAACCAAGAACTTTACATTGAATCACTTAATGAGCTAACAAAAAGGGTTTAAAAAAAAGAAAAAGAAACTAGCTAAAATTTTAAAATTTGGGGTGTATATTTAAAAATTCTCAGTAGTTTTCTGATTCTATTTTGGGGTTTGTAGAGCTAAGAGAAAATTATTGATGCATCCACGCACCATTTTCAACTCAAAACCCCACCATTTTGGCAATTAGGTTCTCCCATCTCACCAGCACTAACAAATACAAGATGATCACCATCTCTAATCAACTCTATATCGTCAATTTCAGCTCCATCCTTGGTTAGAACTTTACTAGCCAACAAACAAAATTTTTTAGCACCAATCTCAAGTAGCTCTTGAAAACTCTGTGGAAGTAGCACAAGCTTTCCTTTAACATCTCCCTTTTCCAGGCAACTAACGGTCACTCTTATAGGACAATCTCTATCAGTCTCAGCACATTTAGTCTGATCTATAGATGAAAGCAAGTCATTGTTGTTCCCTCCATTGGCTGCTGACATAATCCCAAATAAGGAATTGTGAAAGTTACTGGTTCTACGCCTTGGTTGGGATTGCCTCCATGTCCATTCAGTTACTCCGCCTGATGAGCCATCCCGGGACATGGGATAGATCGTTGGTTCACTTGTAAATCTCCCAGATACCTTATTTTCACGTTTTTGTTCTGGTATGACAACGAAATATTGTGTTTTGACCGCTTTATGGGATTGGAAAAGGGTTTTTATATCTTCATGTCCTTGCTGGTCTGCTAGGTCTCTAGGGGTCCAACCATGGATGTCTGGTTTGTCAATATTAGTTCCTTGGTCTAATAGGAATTTCACTATTTCGGTGTTTCCTTCACAAACTGCTACATGAAGAGCAGTGGATCCATTGCTCTTTGGAAGCGTTACGTCCCCTCCGTGATAAAGAATTTTTTTGAGCAACTCTAAGTTGTTTTGCTCCGTGGCAGTGCATGAAAATTGACCCACATCGCCAGATGATATGGTGGCACCATTATCTGCTAGTATCTTGACCACTGGTTCATGATCAGCCATCATTGCCTCCCATATTGGCACATTGCCTTCTAAATCTGTAACGATGTAGACATAGTTGACTCTTAGCATATAATTAATGAATAAGTTGTCAATCTTGATAGCAATTTGTGCATGGTCAAGTGATCCAATAAAAAATTGTTGTAGCACAACATTTAAAAATAAAAACAAAAACAAAAACAAAAAAGTGCAACATAATGACCGGGAGATGGAGGCAAATATTGTAATTGAGAATTTTGATACAGAAAGTGAATTGAATAACTGAAGATTGACCACACAAGTGTCGGTTCATATAATAAGTGAACTAATAGTTATGAGTATCATTGTCGGATAATGTGCCTTCAAATAGAATGTTAGGTATTATGAAAAATATTTCATGAAAATGATCATAAAAGATTTTTGACCCTTAGATTAGATGTATAATAAATTACAAAGTATAATACAAGGATGGTGATTCGTTCATGATCATTTTTATGAAGCACTTTTCATGATGCCTAACATTTGGCTGTAACATAATCTATACACAACTTATGATGAGCCAACCTTCACATATTGGAATAGTTTAAAATTAAAGGATGGTCAATTTCTGCATTATCGATATATAAATTAAGAAATTTATGGAATACGATAACCAAATCCCCCTAGTCTGACTCCCACACGCATGCAAGATCCTTTGTGGATAAGAGTATAACAAGGTCAACTGAAGATCCAAGAAAAAAGTCAATGGTTCCAACACAAATTTGTAATTTCTATCCCGAATAGGAAAGAGCAAACTGATATGCTATATTTCTGAAGTGTACAGGGAGAAAATATTCTATGCTTCTGTACTCCTCACGTCCAAGCTTTGTGTTTTTCCTATCAACGTCGTCGTACCTGAAAACACAGTGACAATGAGCTATCCGGCTAGTGTGTTGCCGGAAAACCCCTTCCGATGATCAAGTTAGCACTCACATAGAGAGAAGAAGACAAAAGAGAAGATAGCTTTGTATCAAAACATTTCAAACTTTTTGCATGGAGGCGCTGCACGGTTTATATAGTTTGTGTGCGCACTACCTTGCTCGTCCTCTCCTGGGCACGTGAATGTATTAGCCTCTCTTTGTCTTACACGTGTGTGTGCGACAATACTGCCAAACAGTATCGACAAAACAACCAAATGGTATTGGCGTGCATGAACAGTGGGTTCCCTCCTCTGCCCTTCAATTGGGCCACGTGGCGGCTATTGCCTAGCTATTTGCCATCTGGTGCGTTACTGTTTACTCTGAGCAGCTTCTATTAATTGGCCTAGCTCCGAGATGCCCAACAGGTCAACTCCAGCACGGCCAGGCCAGTTAAACTTGCCCCAGTTCTGTCATGACCCAAATCTTCTTGGACCATTACAATGCTGCAAGATCAGCCCGGTCTATAAGTAAAACACTTGATCAGCCAAGGTAGTGGAGCTCGATTAACCCTTGGTGGATCCAATCCATTTCAATCTCATCTAGCTAACCGTAAAGCAATGGGCCGAGTTCGGCCCATAACGTTCATAGGTCGGCCATTTTTCACGGTCAAAACTCCCCTCCTAATTGCCCCTTAATCTGTTATGCTTCAGCATAAACCAAATTATCACAAATGGCCGAGCTAAATACCTTGCCCAGCTAGATGAACTACACGGTGTGAACTTGACGTCTCAAGGAGCTCGGTAGGAATCTCATGCCACTAGGCGTTCGATGCCAATTCCACGCCAGAAGTAACACGGTCTATCCCACTACACTAACACAACGTCTTCTTAGGGGGACATGCATTGCTATGTAATGATGAAGGGTGTGATTACCCATGAGAGCTTTCAAATTTTTGGCGCCCCTTCGAGGGTGAGCTACATATTTCGCCGCCCTCTTCCCTATTTCTCCACCGTTCATCATCCATTTACAGACTATATACCTTGCAAACCAGAGCGTACTGTCATCTACTCCTTGCATTTAATGCTCAACTCGAAGGCTTGTTGGCCTTGAGTATGTGCATGTGTAGCATGACATCTTTGCATCGATTTGGTGATTTGGGCCCACCCTACATATTATTTCAGTCCCATTTCCATGCCTATGTGTTTGCCTTGAATGCTTCTTCAATGCATTGGAAGCATGTGTTGCATGCCCCATGTTTTGGCCATATTGCATGCCTTTGAATCAAGCCACTTAGATGCCATCTAGGGGGCCCCCTTTGCATGATCTAGGTTTGCCTTGAACCTATTTTAGGTCCCCTTAGCCTTGTGAGGCTTGGTTGGCTTGGTCATGCTTCAAGCCCCTTTGACTTGCTCCAAGCACTTAGGCCATTTGTTGCATGTTTAGCTTGACTTGTTGCTTGGTTTGGCACCTTGTATTAACATGATTTTCAGAGCTTATGTTGCATGCTAATTGTCCATGATATCTACTTTCGAGTGTGCTTGAGGGTTGTCTAATTTGTGCCTAAGTGTTGGCCCTTAATCATGTGTATGTGTGCATGTGTATTTGGTCCCTTGTTATAGCATTATGGCCACTGTTTTGGGCCTTATTAAAGCTGCCTAAATCATGTCTAAGTCCATCTTGCCATCCATTTGCATTGCCTCATGTTTGCTTGTATGCTTGCATAAGTCCCTTGCCATGCCATGTTGCATCCTTAGCTCGTATGCCTAGGTTGCATAACATCTTGCATGCATGCCTTGTTCCTTGACTTGATGATGGGAATTGGGCCTTGTTTGTTTGTTTGGCTTGCATTTCATTTGACATGAACAAGGACACTAGGGTAGAGAAACCAACGGATCTAGGTGATTATGTAGAGAGAGTAAGTTTTAGAGAGAGGCTCTATATCTAGGATTTTGAGAGATTATGGGAATGGTTAATGGAATTAAAATATCGTTCATTTACACACCAAGTCTTCTGCCTTCCTCTATAAATACTTTCAAAAGAAATCGAAAGATTTTGTGCTTTGTGAAGAGGTTCATTAAAAAGTCTCCACCAGACATTATTTTGTATTTTGAACGGCTTGACCTATTGAATGTGGGTTGTAGTGATTTTTCCCTTTTGAAAACCAGGTACTTTTGGCAGAGAATCATCCTCATTGTAAAACAGATATCATAGGTGAGAAAATTCTCCCAAATGGATAAAAGTTTGGAAATCTCAATTCTTGTTATTATGCATATGTACTAAAGTTCTGGGCGATGTTAATAAGATTTTGAAATTACAAGACAATATTGTACTGGGCCCATCAAGTATTACAGGATTGCCTTCCTTGTTTTGAGATTTTTTTGTGCACTGAGATTTTTTTTTTTTTTTTGAAATATGTGACAGGTATGGTGTGATATTCCAATGTGACAGGTATTAATGTGACACTCGAACGATGGGACACTCAAAAAAAATTAAACTCCTCAGTGTACATTTTCCAAATGTAACAACATGGCAGGTATGTATGATTGTCATTAAAATAAAGTTTCCTTAAGTGTGGGGAAATTCTATTTCCACACACCAAATTATCTCTGTGTACATCTTTTATCAATTTATACATTCAGTAATTTGAGTTTTACTTCTTTATCTCAGTCCACATACTTCACATTCCAAATATACTCTCACCTTCTTTGTGCACATCCTCTCATTCCATCCTTTCTCACTCTAAAAACCTTAACCCTAACTACACCAGCTACCGACGACGGCAACAGCGACGACATCAACACCACCCCTTCCCCACCTCTCGGCCATTCTCACACAACCCCTCACGATGTCGTCACCTCCATCACGATCATCGTCAGTCATTGTCACCTCCATCGCGATCATCACTGGTCACCGTTACCTCTGCGATCCACCTCCCCACCCCTTGCCTAGTCTTCTTCGCCCCCTCATCAATCCTCTCTGCCCCCTCCATCGCGATGCAACCTCCCTCATTCACCACGATAGATCGATCGATCGATTAATAGAGAAAGAAAAAGAGACAAAGAGATTCGATGGTTGATGCTCGAACAAACCCAATAGATTTGATAGTTGATATCTGTACATACTCAATTGGTTCAGCGATTGATATCCGAACGACGACGATCTGTTTGGCACTGGTTGTTTGAACCATCGCGATTTCTCCGGCGATCTACAGAGAAAGAAAAAAGACGAAATGGAAAGGTCAAGGACTGAAAGGAGTGGGGAAAGTGAAAGGAAATGATGTGTATGGTTGAGGTTTGGGCATGGGAGGCGACGGCTAGCGGCGGTCGACAGTGAAGTGGCTGGTGAGATGGTGGTGAGTGAGATGTGTATGGAGAAATTGTGAGCTATGTGGGTGAGATGGTAATTTTGTTAAATGATAAAATTGTGATTCTGAAAAAAATTCATTAAGTGTGTGGAGTAAGAAAATTTGGTGTATGGAAATAGAATTTCCCTTAATTGTCTGCACTGAGGTAAATAGGTGTGCGGATATAGAATTCCCCTTATAAAGGGAGGCTCTATTTACACACCATTTTTCCTCTCAAGGCAAACTATTATTAAGGCACACCTTTAATAATTTGATAAATACATATTTTGCTCAATACACACCACAATGCTCCACATTTAACCTTACTCACACACCTCACCCACTACAATATACCCACAAACTTCCATCTTTACCCTCACTCACTCACACACCTTACTCACCCACGATATTCCATTTCTCCCTCCATTCTCTTTTTAAACCGGTGAACAGCCATTGCTGAAAACACTAATTTTCTCATCAAAGACGGTGGTGCTCAACATAGTTGAAAAGAACTTCACATTAGAGATTCAGTAGGTGAGTTTTCATTTGGCTTAGATTTTAGGGTGGAAAAAAAATGTTGTAAGTGTTCGGCAGTACAGAGTCTAATTAAATGGAATTGTTCGACTATTTCTAACCGAACAAATGGTGTTTGTTCGATACTTACAAACCGAAGAATTGGATTATGTTCGACACTATGAAACCAAACAAATACAATTTGTTCGGTTTTAGGTAGTCAAACATTGATATATTATTGAACTTAGGATAACAGAACTAATACAAACGGTTTACCACTCAGCAAGTAAATGAAAACAAAAACAAAAAACAAAAAAAAAAAACAAGAAAAAATAACGTTTTCCTTGCTCCATTGTTCCGATTCAATATTGCCAGATGAATCCTTCATTGAATCCAATCAAAATGTTTAATAATACGCATATTGGTTGTTTCTTGAAGGGTTTTTGGTTTTTGTTTTAGGAATTTTGGATCCTTGAGACAAGATACGTAAGTAACACCTTTGATTGTTGATGAGTATTATATTCATTATTGTCCGTTATGGCATTATACAAATGGTGTGTATCATAGCTTGTCCTTTGTAGTCATTTTACCTAAGGTTAAAATTGTAAAAAAAAAAAAACTAATTAATGGTTTGCCTTGAGAGGAAAAGCGATGTGTAAATAAAGCCTCCCCCTTATAAATATTTAAATTCACATTTTTACCCTTCATTTCAATGACCAAAATGCCCTCAAAAGTATTGTATTTCTTTATTAGGTTGTGGGAGCTTCTATCACTACAAAAAATTAAGGTTTTAGATACCAAAATTTAGGGACAAGATTAATTTTTAGGAACCAAATAATTTTGTTGCGAAAAGTGTCGTCATTATATTTTTGGCAACAAAAATCAGACATTAGTGATGAATTGTTATCGTTTTTTGACCAAATTTTTTGTCACAAAAAATAAACAAGTTTGAGACCAAATTACTTTGTCCCTAAAAGTCTATTTATTAACGACATTTTCAAAATTGTCGCTAAAAGCCTTATTTTTGACTTTTTGGGACGACCTTTTAGTGACTATCCTCATGACGATGGAAATTGGTCCCTAAATATCTTTTGTAACAAAATTTTCACTTTTAGAGACCAAAGCATTTGGTCTCTAAAACCCTTACATGTCGTAGTGTGTATATCTCTCTTTGGACACACAAGCTAAGAAGAAAATATGAATCCGACAGTTCAACAAAAAAAAAAAAAAAAAAACTAATTTCAACCAGACAAATTCTTAAGAAAAAAATTTATACCATGTTTGGATTGCAGCTTTAGTTTGAATATTTTCAAAGTTTGATCATGCTAATGCAGTTCTAATATTGGTTTGATTTCTTACCATCACTTTACAATCTGAAGATTTTGCAAACCACAATGCTTTTGAGCTGCTAGAGAAATATGATTCTACTCATCTTGTCTTCAATACATGGTGGTGGATCTAGTTACTGACTATTTGGAATCCTGTGTTCTTGCAGGTCTTATTGCAACACTGAAGTTGCTTGGCGGTACCTTGGCTGAGCACACATTTTTATTTTTTAGTGCTGGGGAAGTAAGAATCTAATTGCTGCTTTACCTCTTTCATCTCATCTATATTTTGGCAGTCTCAAAAACTAAATATATGGAGCATGGAAAAGCGTAGGTCAACATATTGGGGAAATTATTCAATATTTTCGGAGTATCACATATCTGTACTCCTTAACCAATCATTATTTAATATGCCCCTCACATTCTTCAATCACCTAACACAATACCCTACCTATTCATTTTATCCATCAATCGCAATACTATAGAATATCACATATCTATACTCCGGGATTACTAAATAATTACCGAAATATTGGGCATCCAATGACTTTAGTGGAAACCTATTTATGTATTCACACTGTAGACCTATTTTCTCTCTACACGCTCCTGTAGAAGAATTCCCTCTCTTACTCATATTGAGGACTAGTTCATTCTAATTGTTTTTTAGCACCCCCCCTCCCCCCAAAAAAAAAGAGAGAGAGAGAAGGAGAGATAGATAGAGAGGGAGGATCTTTTTGGTTGGGCAGTTTTAATTTTTAAGTTTTTATTGTGTCATCCCTTTCCAGCAGCCTGCTTCTAGATCATCAAGCATCGGCCATCAACAGAAGAATGCATAATCAAATTTCTTTTTATGTATCTCACTCTAGTCCCCTGAATTGTAGGCTGGAACTGGAATAGCAGAACTTATAGCTCTTGAGATGCCAAAATAGGTAATCATTTACTCCCATGTTGACTTTGTCTTCAGGTTGTTTCTTAAAGTATGTCTAGAGCAACCCTTCATGTGGTTGCTTGGCGATTCTCTTCTTTTGTTCATCTATTATAGACCAATAGACCAAACCTCCTTTGGAAGAGACGCATAAGAGCTAGCTTGTGGACTCGAAGATAGTGAAAAGTTTAGTGAAGGTTCCTTGCTGAATAATGGATATTTAGTTGATCACGACTGTTCATACTTTTATTTTCTTTTCCATTTTTACCCTTTTCGGCACTTGTGGGTCTTGCATTAATCAAAAAGCATGTGATTTCTCTTGCAAGGATTAATCATTAGTTCTCATAAGAATTCCCTTTAACACTTCAAGAAACCTTGGGCTCACGAACATGAACCCATCAAGGATCTTTTAGATGCTGTGAAGGTTTGATGCATTCCCATTATGTCTATATTTTATTATAAGAAGGTAGTTTTCAGAGATTGTTGGTCTCTATTTCATTTTCAAATGTCATCAGGCTATCAAGCCGACGGTTCTAATTGGTTCATCTAGAGTGGGAAGAACATTCACAAAAGAGGTGATTGAGGCCATGGCCTCCTTCAATGAGGTACTCTCTCTCACTCTCTCTCTCTCTCTCTCTCTCTCCAAAATATTACAATAAGACTCTAAATGAATGGCATGCAGAAACCTCTCATTATGGCTCTCTCCAACCCAACCTCCCAATCTAAGTGCACAGCTGGAGAAGCTTACACTGTAAAAATAAATTATGCATTTTTTATTATCCTATAATTTGATGCTTTAATGCAAGGTAATGTCTGATTGGATTCAATACAAAACTGATAAAATTCTCTATTCTGAAAAAAGAGACGTGCAATTTTTGCCAGTGGAAGTCCATTTGACCCTGTGGAATACAATGGCAAAGTCTATGTACCTAGCCAAGTTCTATTACTTTATACTTCTAGTTTTTTGGTGTTATATCCTTAATACATCTGAGATGGATACTCAAAACTGATTTTGATGGCCTTTTTTTTTCTTTCTTTTTTTGTGATCCATTCAGGCAAATAATACAAAGTAAGGCTTGCCATTAGCATCCCTAGTAGTGGCGGAGCCACGTAAGGCCCAGGGAGGTCACGTGCCCCCCCTGAATTTTGTGATTTTTTTTTTTTATGGCAAATATAAAGAAAGTATTTTAAATAAAAAGAATTACAAAAATATTATTAGAGTGAAATGTCAACGACATTTTAAAAATTATGAAAATAATAATGGTTGTTTTGATTGAAAATGAAGAGACTACTATAAACCATATTATCTATGAAAATTTTAAATGTAACAATGATGTTATTATTATTGACATGCAAGTATAAGTAATCTCACTATAAAGATATGAAATTTGTGGGATTGTTAGTTACATTTGACATGTTGTAGACACCCCATTTTTGACCGTCCTCAAGACTTGGACGTCACTGCTTGAACACTCGGTGATCATCCATGTTCGCGTTTGTTTTGAGTTCCCGGAGGTCTTGGCTACGCGCCTTGCTTCAGGATCTCTCGACTTGCTTGTTCTGTGCTTGGTTTTACACCAAGGACTTGTTTGTTTTTGCACCTGAGGGTAGAGAGTAGCTTGTTAGCTACCCCTGACACTCACCGGCCCTGGCTTGAGGCCACCGGCCGTGTCTTCTTGCTACCGGCCGTTGGTGAAATATACCATTGGCTGGTCAGCATTTGGTGTGGTCGGCTGACCATCTGTTTGGCCGATGGCCTCCTTTTCTGGTTGATACCACCTTTTTG